TTCAGAGGTCCTTGCTGCCTCCATCTGTATCGTCATCGCCTTGATGATGGAGACAGCAAGGACCTCTGAAATTTGCGCTCGACTAAATAAAATTACACCCTGGTTGCAGATCATCCTCGTCCTGAAGAGCATTGACATGTATGAGATCACCAACGCGAGTGTCATGATCCAAATCGTGAGTCAGGTGATGGCCTACATGAACTCCTGTGTCAATCCCATTTTGTACGCTTTCCTGTCGGATCACTTCCGTAAAGCATTCCGCAAAGTCGTCAACTGTGGACCGTGGGGCTCTGGAGGCACGCGTTACCAAAGAGCATCGACTACAATCATCCCTCATCAAGCCAACGGAAGATACGATGGCAGCAAGAGTACCATGCTGACCCTCACTAAAACCACGCGCACTAATGGTTGCAGTGCGGTTAACGATATTTTATGAGATACAACCGCGACAACGACCACAAACGCCGGCGGCTCTTTAGAGACAATGCTGTGATTTTCTCTGTCGTTGTTTTCATAGCTAAGCGTCACAAGAATTTCTCTCGGAATAGTCCGGGGAAGCTCAAATTTATATTTTTTTTATTCTCGAACGGATATTGAACAAAGTTCCAGTAACGAAAGGTGCTCGTTAAAACGTGCTGTGATTCAGATTGGAATGTTACTTTTGCTTAATTCTGTTGTGGAAAGTGTAGCTTAAAGTTACATTTCAGTATATTATTCCTGCCTGCGATAACCGATTTTCATTAACAGCTGTTGGAAATGCAGAAATATTTGTGTTATATGTAGAACGTCAAATCTGAAACCGAAACAACGCATCTTTCGTGCATCATAATAAGAGCTACGATTGCATGCACAGATGAAATCTCCTCGAACAGTAGAGTAGAAACTTGGAACTTAAATGCACTCATGAATTGTCCTCATTAAACATAAACTTTTACGAGGAAATATATTCTAAATTAAGATCGGGAATACGTTACAATTAAACGGTTTATACGAAGTTATTTTGGTTGAATATCTTCTGATGAATTAATACATTTAATCATTGGGTTAAAGTGTTTGTGTAATTTATGATTCAATATAAGTTACAATATATGTAAAGAGCAATAACGTACGTTTTTTCATGAGCTTGCGCTGTATAAAAACATTTCCTGCAAGCAGAATTTGGAACACGACGGTACAACATCTTTAAGAAAATAAGGAAAAGAAATTATAATTGTTAAGCAGATAATGTGGAAATTGTGAAATAAATCAGGTTCTTTTGATTTCAGCTTCCATTAAACTGCTCAAGCCCTCTTACACATGTCTGCAACACTCCCCAAATGTGATTTAAGATTAAATGTTATGCACGCCCATAGAAAATTTCATATTATAATGGACAATAATTAATGTTAAAATGTATCTATATATCAAGGGTTTTACTAAATTCAGTATAAAAGTCAAGTAAATTGTTAACATATTTGAACAGTTTTTATTGATCGGATATATTGAATATGCAAAATATTTGCAAACAATATTATTTCTTAAGCTTAAATACGCAAAGTAAGCATAAACGTTGTCTAATTTATGATGGTACGAAAACTAAAATTTTATTGGCCATTTCAAAAAGTGTGATGAGTAAATGTTTTCCTTTACGAAACTTCGGTATGGACTGACGCAAAGGCGAGTTAGAATGAGGGTTCAGTTTTCATAAAGGTAAATCATCACACGCTTCAGTCACAGAATAAATATCTTGATCTGGAATAATAATACTTCTGGAATGTAAAATTCGTAAGATTCACAGATTTTGTACTAAATCACATTTTTTGGTATATGACTTGATACGTATTTAGACTGTGGCATTATTTACCTTATGGTCATATATATTACAAAAGTAACAATGTCAATACTATGTTTCGATAAATAAAATTAAGTTGCACATCGACATAAATGAGATGCTTTCGCTCACCCTCTTTGATATACGAGGCTTTATCAGAGATATTCTGATTATTTTCTGTTTCTCTTTGTGTAATCAAACCTCCAGTTGCTTTGAAACTCTACTTCCTTTCCATACTGCTAAATTTAGAACGTGCCAATTAGTCTCTTTGCCTAAAGGGATAATTTATTCTGCTAATTATCTTTATAGAAATTCTAGAAACCAACTATATTAACAACTTGATACTAACTACTGGTTAAACGGTCAATCGTGTTCTACAGTAAAATATCCGGAACTGTTATTGTCACAGATACGCTTATATAAATTAACTTAATAGAAACATATCTTATTTATAATTTTACTGCTATATCACACTTACATAGTACCGTAACTTAGCTTTATGTAACGTAGTGATTTATATAGCAATGTCTTCCTGTTTGTTGCAACAGTGTGATGTCGTGTTTGGACTGAGACCACTAACACCCACATCCACCATTGCCACATTCATTAATATTATTATTTTAATGTTATATTTCTTGTAGAGCGTTTGTTAATAAACGTTTTTGCAAGTATAGATTAAATACGTTAAGAATTATTATGTAATTTGTGTGTACATAAAAATTAATGTTGCTTTAAAAGTGATTGCTTGATTGCTCCTCTGGTTAGTGTACACTCTTCTTCAAACTAAACAGAGTTCTTATATCCATGTAATGCTATTTTGTGATGGAAGAAAAACATGGAGTAAATTTTACGGCGTCTGAACAATATCTCACCCTTATCATTCCGACATTTTCCTTTGAATGTTCACTCTTTACCACCAACAGATTCGACAGTCTTGCCCTCGACATCGCTGGACTATGAAACACACTAAGTATAAGCCTGCCAGAATATTCAGCGTGAGAGATATCTACGGTTTTAGAGACTCACTGATCTGAAGTCTTTACAAGTGTCTTTAATAATTTATCACTTTCGATTACAATGTGCGAAAGACTGTTTACTTATATAAAATACTAAGAACTGAACTGACTTATATTACTGTAAAAGTACGTATGTATTTTCAGGTCACTAGTGATCACCATACTTTCTTTTGCTTAACTCAGGTTTTTATTTTTCTCACTTAAATCTTGGTTCCTGTTTTATTCCATAACACATTTTCATTTTGTAATGAGTGAGACATCAATTTATTTGAAATAATTAAATAATTTGTTTATTTATGTCTACAATTACAATCATCTGTTACCAGTTTACGTTCATTCTGGGTTTTTTTTTGGCTATACAGAAATCTAAAGCCATGCTCTTGAGAGATTGAGATTTTTCAGTCATGTATTCGGTTATATCTGACGCCAATTTCACATGTGGTTGATCTAAAGAACCGGTACATACAGAGAAAAAATGTCATCCTTGTGTTTTCGCGGATGGAGTTCAATGTATAACTTCGGGTTTCAGGTATGAGCCACGTCAAATGTTGGGTATTGATCAAAGTCTTGGAAAACATTGCAGTTGCCATCTTCAGTGAGGCAAGTTTTAGAAGCCTTATACACAGCAGGCAGTATGTGGCGAGATAGATTTGGTGGCGGTGGTAGATGAAGCGGAGGACACGGCTTCTCTCCTGTTCTATGTAACACTTCAGAACTCGACCCACCACACATCCACTCCAAAGGTGGCAATTCCAGTGTTTCCGAAACACTGATTAGTACTAAACAAACACGGCGCGCCTCATGCTCGAAAGCCGAAGTTTACATATGCCGATATTTCTTTTATTTGCAGGAGTTTGTAACTAGTTATATTGGCTGATAATGAGATAATAAGAAAGCCTGTAGGCATACAGTATATAAGCGATAACTACAAGAATTTCGGATGGTAGGTTTCAACAATAATGTAATAAAACATGTTGATCATTGGAAAATTTATGGGATTTATTAATAACGCTTGCTCCAAGACGGTGAATGTAGATAGTACTGTCATTTTACAATAATATTAGTGCAGGTACTTAAATGAAATAAAACGGTCAAAGTGTGTGTACGAAAATGTTAATATTCTAGGCCTATATTATAAATAAATCATGGCCTCAGTTACATGATTTCGTATGAATTAATTTCCTGGAACAATACAAAACCCTCCTATTCGTACATGCCCAGTCTGAAAAAATGTAATCTTGACAAGTCTCATGTTATTATTTGTGCTTAAAATATTAAATAAATGTTCACAGGAACGAGCAGATTATATTTAACTTTGAAGTTGTATTATATTGTAAATATAAAAAAGATAATAAACTGGTTACATATACGCCGGTCTCTTTCCATTTGCAACCAGCTTACATTTCTTGAGATTCTTACGTAATGTGAAACCAACTGAGTAATATTTTAACGAAGAAGTGCTTTTTTCATACATAGCACATTAGCCTCCTGAAAGCGATGCAAAGTCATGTATCCCAATAATAAAATTATGCTTCTGTGTTACTTCCCAGTCATTTTGAAACAAGCAGAATTTTGGATAAATTTCACCAGTATATTTTGTTAGTAGACGTACTTCCGGAATTCATATTTATGATAAGGAATGGACAACTCCGTCTTAGGGTTAAAGTTGATTCTATGACATTTAAAGCTTGGAGGTGACATCATCGACGTGTGGAAACTGTGATCAAACAGACGATCATAAACACTAAAAGATCATACAATATATCGCGAAAACTTAAACATTCTTATGCTAACACTCAAGAACAATAACATCTATATAATTTGTATATATTTATATCGTATATGTAATTATTAAGTTGTATTTCTGTCCTAAACGTTTTTAATCAATTATCATAAATAAATCTTTCTGAATTAAAGACAAGATGCTATTGAAAGTATTTTTCTGTAGTAGATTATTGTGCCGATGAGCCCGGTGGTGACTGATTACGGGCTGGGCAATCTGGGTTCTATCCCTGACAAAGGATTCTATTTTAGAGTCTCTGGCGTCCAGACCGGCTCCGGATCCCGCCCATCCGTAACGTGTCAACACATCCATGTTACTTTACTTTACTTTACTTTAATTTAATTTACTTGTAGATTATGGTATTTTAGGCCGTGATTCCAATTTAACGTTTGAACTTACCATGTTCAGTTGTTAAAATGGAGGTGATGTGCATTTCACTGATTCGCTGATAACCACTTACAGGACTATACAAATACAAAAAAGTAACACCTCCGGGATTATAATCACTTCAAATCTCGAACAGAGTATTTAGTTCTAAAGGCCATGGTAAGAGGACTATAACTAATGTCTAAGTAAACCAGTGACTGCACCATATACTAGGTGTGTTTTATGCTTTTTCACAATTTATTCCGAGAAAGCATTGTTGTAAAAAGGGCAGAACGGAAGCGCCTTGGACGTGCAGAGAACGTTGCGTTGTGATCATGCTGGAATACTGCAGATTAAATATGTTTATAACAAATCAATTAGATTGAAAAAATTAAACATTGCGGATGATAAGAAATATAAGCTTTCGGGCTGTGCTTGGGCAGTATCTGCATTTAAGTGAGAGCGAGGTTTGGGATAAAGTTATCAGGTTTCAGTATGGGGAAGCGAAGAGTACGTCATTTGCTAGGATTTTATAGCTATCATCATACACCATTACATTCTTAAAATATCCTAATGTATCATAAAGAATTTTATAAGAAATCCCAAGCCGGAGATTTTGTTATAGTAACTACTCTGAAATTGTTTGCATACTGTAACTTAAATATCTGTACTCGTAGCCGGGTTATAAAATGGAGATAGAAATCGTAGTTACGTCAGCAAGTATCTACGTAAAGATAGGTTGAAGATGGCTGTCTTCTGAGTTGTTGCACTGTGTAGTCTAGTGGAAGTTTACCGATGTTTTAGAGGTGCTCACTGCCGCAGTCATCACGGCGATTATATGGGGAAAGCAAGCATCTCCGAAACGTCGGTAAAGTCTACCACATTGCACGGTGCAACAATCCTTAAGACAGCTGCCTTTATACTCGCAGCCGTGTGACACTAAAGTCTCAAAAAAGATATCTAGTTTATTGGCAACGTAAATCAATAACGCAACATATACGTATGTTGTTATTACAGATTTTGTATCTGAATTGCTGAGAAGAGAAACCAAGTTAGCTGCGCTAATGAGGCAGCTATGGTGAGTACTAACTCACTTCATGCAGATTAATTCAAAATCATAACCTCATAATCAGTCACGTGGTTGAGAATTTCCCACCATTTTATTGGACTCAGGACGTATTACTGTGTTCGTAAACTCCGCTACTGGAAAGTATCATGAGACAATCTAGTGTACACCACAATGCCCTATTCGTATCGCTGTTTTTACCTACATACTCAAGCGTCTCCTAAACATTTCTTCACATTCGGGATTTTCAAATAAAACGGGTACTGTGCATAAAGACCTAAATGGACTCTTCGTTCTGGAGAGAATGGATAGGGAATAACCGCTACTTTTGTTGCAATTGATATAATGGTTATTATGGTTCACTTGGTTACCTAAGGAATTTTCAGCCAACCAAATTTTAAGGTTACTTATGCTATAAATAAAGGCCAGAAATAAAATTTTGATCATCATGTTAAATTATAAAGTTATGCGTTTATTTCCAGACCTGCTCCGTATTTTAATAATTATGCTTTCAAAACGAGACGAGAAGAAAAAAATGTGTGACTTTTTTATCCTAGAATACAATACCTATATTTTCACCTGCAGGCCAATTATCCTACCTGATGGTTCCCTCAAGGCTCCACTGGATACATTCTGGGACATTACTTTAAAATATTCCATAAAATATTCGGTCAGTACATAACGTTATGAGTGTAAATGTAAGAAAACCATATTATCATAAAGAATTTATTTTGGGTTAGCATGCACTAGGAAGTAACTGTTTAGTGCGAAACTGGAAACTTATCACTCATCCTGAAACATCTCAAAGGACAACAAAAAGTTCTAGTAACTGAAAATAATCACTTCAGTAATACTCCCTAACATATTTTCATGCACTGCAGAAAATGTTATGTAAATACGTAGCGTTTAGAAAACAGAAGACGTTCTATAATGATCTTAAAATTTTGCATGCCGTGCAGTATTGGAATATAAAATCTTGCATACAAACAAAACTGCCAGTGGACATAAAAGCTAAGTACTCAATTATTACATCAACTCCTGTGCAATTAACGTCCAGTGAGGTGTTACATAAATATGGTTTTATAAAGTGCATACCTTCTAAGCTTTATAGAAATCCATAGATTTTTAATTGTATTATATTATTTAATTTATTTTGCCAATAATGATGTCCTCTTGATGTCGAAACGCGTTTTGCATTAGTGTTTTTCCAAATGTAAACAGTTTTGTTTGTGTGCATCATTTTTTATTCTATAATGAGATTTCGTGAAAGGAGAAAAGACAAGAAAAGTGAAGAGAAACACTTTATATTTTTAAGCAATCGAAAAAACTGTTAGTAAACGTGAAGAAACCTGAAAAATGCTTTGTGAAAACCGAAAAGGAAATGCCTAAAAGATCTTAAAGGACGGGATGTTAGGCACGCTCGCACAGACACACATACCTGATGGAACCATCATTCATTTACTGTCCCATAAAATATTTATATAAAGCGCACGCTCGATTTCAGATAGAGATTCGTTCCTCTGTCATTTCTGTACAGCCTGTGTATGTAATGGTAACGATAAATGACCATCTGATACGGGCAGCTATTTAATTTAAATATTTCCATACCACGACTCAAAACATGATTAAATCAATATTAAATTACGCAGTTAAATATTGAAATATACACTGATTCAAAAGTTAGAATATTCTTTCTCTACTCCTTAAATATTCACTGTCTAAATAAAACTGTGGTAAAACAAAGAAAAAGTTCAAAATCTTACCTTTAAAATACGACACATTGTCTACATTTAACAGAATTTCTGGTCTACAGTTTAGTTTTATATTCATAATTAATAATCGCGAAATATATAAGAATATTCTAGTAAATGATCTAATAAGTACTTGAAACTATATTGGCAGGCGTAGTTGTATATACTATATATTTAAAATATTTTACACGGGAATGGTCCGGCTGGCCATATCGAAATCACTCCCAAAAGTTACCCGTTTTGAAGAGCCCATCTGGCAATGATTAAAAAAAATTCAGCCGCCCATGTGCTGTGCAAGGAAGCGAGAAATTGTTGTGTTTGAACGTACAGTTAAAACTAACGCCACTGCGCACGGGAGTGAAGGCAGCTCGTCCAGCAGTAGCGCTGTATTCGCCGGGGACTTTCAACTGGGAGCGTGGGCCAGAGAAAATAACATGTCACTGTTTATTTGCCACAGAACGTACCTCAGCATGCTGTTAGCCAATATTTTACTGGCTCCCACTCTGTTCACAAGATTAGCCTTATTAGTATGTCAAGTGAACATATTAAAGTAGACAAGAGCATTGGGAAGAATGAGGGCGCTTTTGATCTCTGAAATTGCGTGGTTTTAATTATAGACTCGCAAAAGAATACTCAACAAACAAATATCATACCATAGCACATGTCCATCTATGTACCAGTTTTGTGGCTAAAAGTGCCTTATATATTATTATAACGTGTTTTGATTCCTCCATAAGAATAACAGAAAAGCCAATTATTCCCAACAAATTGAACGTCTGCATTGTATCTTCACAAATCCTAGGAAGTAGCAAGACTACAAGCATTAGAACATAACTAAGTGCTTAGTAATTGCAAACTGTACAAAGAATATTAACTTTTTGCTTTTCTGTGAAGTGGCATTATAAATTAGCTACATGTCTTGCGTCTATTCATAACCAAACAAATTGGTACCAAAATTCTAGTTTCAGTCTGAGTGTATGTATTTTCGTCCATTAAAATTGACCTTCGAGTTTTACGAGTATGTAAATCCAGATTATGAATTGTAATTTTGGTAGAATTAATCCGTTTTAAGATTACGCTTTAGATTAAAAACTTTGCGTGGCAATGTATATTTGTTGAAAAGCCACAACTCCTCAGTGACAACATTAGAGTTTATTCATACTGTTAATGTTAATCGTCTAATATATTAAGGTCGTTCAGAACAAATGTTTCCAAACCAGAGATTATATCCTGTATAACATTAGCAGGGTTGAGTAGCAATGTCACGCAATTAATTTCTTAATAGTCTGGAAAGCCCATGAACTGTAACGAGAATTGTAAGCGAAAGTGATCGAGGAGAAAGTATGAAATATAACAGCATTATAGATATAGGCTTGGCGCTGAGTTACGTCACAATTCTAGAC